CAAACCTCAACCCCAGACATGGCAGGGCCTTCGCTCTTAGAGTGGCGGGTGCCAGCTGGGCTGCTGTTGTGCCAGCTTGCTCCACACCCATCCTTCCCTGGAGTAGGGGCTCTAGGGAGATGCCGGAGGCTGGGCTGCCCAGGGGCTTTCAAGTGGCTGGGCCAGGCCCTGGCCCACACCAAGGCATGGTACTCAGATGCCACCTCCCTGCCCTTTGAGCAGTGATTCTATACCGAGGCCTCCCTCCCCTGCCACACAGCCCACCGTGACTCCCCCACCAGCTGTCGTGCCTGGGCAGGCATTCTGGAGGTCCCCGTCATGCCCCTGGCACACAGAGCTCGAAGGACCTGGGGCGGGGGTGGGGGGCTTTCCCAAGCTCAGCAAAATATTCACACACACACTCCTCCCTGCCCCCAGCCTTCAAGAGCTCCCACTGCACAATGGGCCCTTGTCTGGGGCTCCCTCCAAGCAGCTGTGGCACTGGGGCATGAGACAGCCCAGACAGGCTGGCACAGGGCGGGGTGGCCGCAGGCATACCCCCCCTCTGGGTTGCCAGGCACTGCCTGCTGGCAGATAGGTGAGGTGGGGGAGGCACAGGCCCACGGCATGGCTTTAAGTGATAGAGTTAGGGATGGAAATGCCCCTCTTGGGGCTTGAGTTGGGTCGGGAGGGAGAGCCTTGGTTCCACCCAGTTGTGGACAGTGCAGTCCCTGGGCTCTCTCCTGAGCGCATTCTTTGCTTCTGACTCTTGGCCATTGCTGCTCACTTTTAGGCAATTGTTCCTCAGGACACAGTGAGCCAGGAAAGGAGTGTCTGGAGGCGGTTGGGCTGTCACAGCTGGGGTGCTACTGGCATCTCATGGGTGGCGACCAACTCTGGCCTGGGGAGCTGGGTAAGGGTCTGTAGGTTGGGACACCCACCTTTCTGCACAGGGCCAAGGGGAAGCTGCTTGGCCAGTGTTGGTACCATGCTTCACTCCTGACCATTGTCCTCTTTTTGTCTCCCGCAGAATCTCGAGA